ATCTTGGCCCCTGTCACCTTTTCGTACCGATCAAGCGTCTTCAGTACCGCCTCAATGTGGCTGCGGGACGACACGAAAGCAGATACGTCAACGGCGTACGTGGAAACCCTGAATCGAGCCCCTCCAGGAACGGCGATTCCACGTAGGGCCGGACTGCACGTCCTGTCTCTCAGCCGGCGAAGGAGAGGCTCCAACGCCAAAGCATAAAGTAGGGGCGACAGTGGACAACCCTGACGAACCGACCTAGACAGCGCAAAAACGCCCGACAGCTTCCTGTTTACCTGTTCTACAGCACTGGAGGGGGGCGATAGAGGAGGCCAATCCAGCGGCAGAAGTCGGGTTCGAATCTGGTGGCCTGCAGGACAGCAGCAAGGTAACGATGGTCAACCCTATCAAATGCCTTGGACTGGTCTAAATTCAACAGCGCAGTCTCGTCGTCGTCTTTTACACCGTCTATAATCATGCGGATCAGATGCAGTTTGCTCTAAATTGTTCGGTCCCTCACAGCACAAGTCTGCTTCGGACCCAACACAGACTCGGCAACTGTCTGCAAACGCTCCTGCAGGATCTTGGCCAAAATCTTTAACTCTGTGTTTAGTTATGGGTCTGTAATCATCTAGTTTTCCCCGCCCAACACCCTTTCCCTTTTTCAACAGCGTGATCACACCCCTGGAGAACCGGTCGGGGAGGGGCCCTGCCGGAACAAGTTGTTGAACACGACTGTCAAAATAGGGACAAAGATGTGCGACCGCCTCAAGTACATTTCATTTGGCAAACCATCCAGACCTCTGCCGACCTTCTTCAATGCTGCGTAGACCTCGTCTCCGTAGCTAGCGGCTTCAGTCGGCGAAAGCCGAGGAAAGTCAGCCAAATAGCTGCGAAACTCGTCCTCACAAAGACCAGGCTCCTTGGTAAACCGGCTCTCGAAATGCCGCCGAAACTCCTCGCACATGTCGTCAGTGGCCCGAAGAGTATGCCCCTCCGGGCTTTTGACTTCACGAATGTACCATCGGACCCTTGACGGACCTCTTCCTTGCGCAAGACTGTACCCATGTTCACCGCTTCGGAAGACATCTTGCTTAACAGGTCACCGGGCCGAACGGCCTGGATTTGAACGAAAAAAAAGGGCTAACAGTATGTGGAACGATTTGTTCAAGTACTCCCTGGCTAGAGGGAGTAGAAAACCGTAGATATAAAATTACTCCCCATGTTGTTCAATATCTGGGAAGCACAGCCTAATCCGATGCTCACAAGGTACGGTTTTGGACTCAACCATATTGGACCAGTCATCCAGTTTCTCGCATGCTGTTGGACTTAAATCTGCGAGATCAGGGGTTGTGAAGGTCAAGGTCGTTTTTCTGAGAAGCGGCTAATGGCGACCGTGACAAACCCACTCCAACAGTAAAATATCTCGCGATAACTAGTAATATAAAAAAAAACCGGTGTTAATCAAAAAAATACCAGCACTTGAAAATTGCCTCGGCATGAAATTCAGAGTTGTGCAATCAATATAATTTATTTCTTTATATATATATATATATATATATATATATATATATATATATATATATATATATATATATTCAATAAGGGGACCTTAGAAAAGGGAAATTGTCAGCAGCATGCTACTACTATGTAAAGAGTTTGATCCTCGTCTTATATCCGATTTTAATGTGTGAAACGGATATCGGTACAATATTGGAATTTGCGAGCTGACTTCAAATACTAAGTCTGTTTTCTTGAGAAACGCATGAATCCTTCTATTCTGTCATTTCCTATAATTCCCAGGAAACTGCGAAGAGACATGATCGCTTACATCCTGAAGGGACATGAACGAAAAAATTATCCACTTTTATGATATTTGTGCCAAAGATTAGTAAAGAAGCATATATTAGTTGAGCGCTATAGAAACCCCAGTGTAAGATCTTCCTTCCAATAAGTCTCTCACGTCTTCACTGTTTCCCCCAAGAGAATACATTCTAGAAATATCTGGGTCAGAGAATTTGCAAAAATGGCTGTACTCTTTCTTACCGGTGAATGAATCACGTGTGTTTAAAAGTCTCGCAATCACACGCTCCTAATATGAGATCAACCACAAAAAAGTATGAATTTCTACCAGAAATAAATCGTACTGTTCATCTTTGACTTTAGATTAATTACTTTTAAGAGGTGACCTCCGAACTACTTATTAAGCACCAGTCTACTCTCACAGAATGTATTCGACCAACCGCTACCCACGTGTCGGAAATATGAGCCTGTGATTGGTTAATATAATTGTGAAGGTGACGCTGTGGTTGTTCTGTTCCTGGGAGAGTTGTTGCGTCTTTTTAACGAAAATAAAGAAAAGTAATAGAAAAATAGATGAAGGAAAGGAAAAGAAATTACGGTGCTGTGAGTTTCTGAAAACGTTTTTCCAATGGAACTAATCCACCTTAGATTCGTGTGATAATTGTGCCGGAAAAATGTTATGTGTGTCACATTACAGAATATTTGTCCCACGTGTCAATTTTCTTTTTAACATTTTTTTTTCTAATTTCCTTTTTCTTTTTTTGTTTTGTTTTATTTGTTTTTTTGTTCATCTTTCTCTAGAGTATTTTCCTCCATTTATTTTATAGTTTTTTTTTCTCTTCAATTTTTGCTTTATTTTTTGCCCGTCTGTTATTTTTTTTTTTTTTTTTAAATATTTCATTCTTCTTGGGATATTTTTCAATCTTTTCAATCTATCGTTTCTTCGTTTCTTTTGTTCTTTCCTATTTAAAATTTTATCTTTTCCCAAATGCCTACCGATTCAAATTAATAATTTTTTTCATTCTATTGAAATATTCTTATCATTCCTTCTTTTCTTCTTCCATTTTATTTCATTATCTTTATTCGGAAATGTTAAACCCAAAGAAAAAATGTTTCTGCCCGAAGAAAAAAAACTGTGACAAAAGGACTCTTTTTCCTTTGACAGCGATATTATTTTGTATTACCTTCGGCAATATTTATTAATTTAAAAAGCGATGATTAGAATTTTAATAAAACCGAAACAAAAGTGGTTTTATGCATTTAAAATTTAGAATTTAAGACAAAAATATTAAACACTATTAGATTGATTATTTCCAAGAATAATTTTATATTTACAACATTCTAAGAATGCTAATTTATAAAGAAATAAATATGATTTTTTTTTCATATATTTATAAAATTTTACTATATCATAAAAATATATGAACTAAATAAAAGGAAATTCTTATTATTTACCATTTTATAAAGTTCGAATCAATCGGCAACTCGCTAATGTTTTGCCAACCATTTCAAACAAAATAATTTGTTGAAAATTATGTAGATTTTTATAAATTCATCAATAAAAAGATTCCTATTCAAATTTATTTCTTTATCAAATGTTAAATAATACATCTTAATAAAATGGTAAGTACTAAATATCTCATTGTACCTGGTGCATATATTTTTATAAGTTTGTATATAAACATTGCCGAGGGAGTTTCGGTTGTTTAAAGTAATAGCGGTGTCAACAGAAAAACCGTCCTTTGGAAACAGGTTCTTTTTTTTTTCTTTTTTTTTTTTTTGCGTGCCCGAATATTAAACATTGTCCATTCTTTCTATTTATTTTTCTTTACACAAACGGACTTCTTTTTTTATCTTCTGCTTCTTCATTTTATACTTTATCAGGTTTACCCCCAAAGGATAACGAAAAATGTCTGAAGATAGAGGAAGCAAGAAAACTGTTCCGCCAATCTTACAGTTCAATCTATTGTTGACTTATTTTTAATCTGGTCCTTCCTGTTACGGCTTTGCTTTTCCTAATCGAATATTAAAGCCAATATTTCTCTCTCTCTCTCTCTCTCTTTCTCACTCACTTACACACTCAATCACTCAATCACACACACGCAGTATTTATCTATCTCCCATTCCTTTCTCTTGTCTTCATCCCTCTTGCTTGTATTTTTTTTTATTTTCCTTCTTTACATTTACTATATTTTTTCCTTGTTCACTAACTTGTCTTTCTGACTTCCTTTTTGTCTTCTTTTTTCTTCCTTTATTTATTCCTTTCTTTCTTCCTTTTTCCTTCGTTTTTTCTTCTTTTTTCTTCTTTTTTTTCCTTTTTTCTTTCTTTTCTTTTTCTTCCTTTTTTCTTCTTTTTTCTTCATTTTCTTCCTTTTTTCTTTCTTTTCTTTTTTCTTACTTTTTTCTTCTTTCTTCATTTTCTTCCTTTTTTTCTTCCTTTTCTTTTTTCTTCCTTTTTTCTTCTTTTTTCTTCATTTTCTTCTTTTTTTCTTTCTTTTCTTTTTTCTTCCTTTTTTCTTCTTTTTTCTTCATTTTCTTCCTTTTTTCTTCCTTTTCTTTTTTCTTCCTTTTTTCTTTCTTTTCTTTTTTTTTCCTTTTTTCTTCTTTCTTCAATTTCTTCCTTTTTTTCTTCCTTTTCTTTTTTCTTCCTGTTTTCTTCTTTTTTCCTCATTTTCGTCCCTTTTTTTTGTTTATTTTTTCTTTTTTTTCCTTTTCTCTTCTTTTTTTTCCTTTTTTCTTCTTTTTTTCTTCATTTTCTTCCTTTTTCGTTTTTTTCTTACGTTTTTTCTTTTTTTTCGTTCTTTTTTCTTCTTTTTCGTCCTTTTTTCTTCTTTTTCTTCCTCTTTTCTTCATTTCCTTCCTTTTTCTTCTTTCTTCGTTTCCCTTTTTGGTTTCATTTTACTTATTTTTACTATTATTTTTCAATCTCCCTTACTTGTTTTTATCTTCTTTATTTCTTATTCGTTCCCTTTCACATATTTTTTTCTTTTCTTTCTTTCATTTCGATTTATTTCTTATTCTTGCTTTCTCTGTTCATTTTTTTCTTTTTCCCTTCCTTCCTTTCGTTCGTTCTTCCTTTCTTTATTGATGTGAAACTTTCTTGTGTCTCACATTATCTTTCTTTCTTTCTTTTATTCTTTCTTTCGTTTTTCTCCCTTTTTAGTTTTTCTTCCATCAATGTTTGCTTTCTCATTTCTTTTCTTATTAATCTTACGGTCACCTCACGTTGAAACACCAGTTCCCGTACGATCACGGGAGTTAAGCAACGTCGAGCCTGGCCAGTTCCTCTGTGGGTGGCCGCTTGGAGATACCAGGTGCTATAAGTTTGGATGTGCGGATGGTGTAATTTATAATGGCTCGGAATTGTTAATCGGAGAGCTGAGTTCCATTTCCCGTTGGAATCGTTATATCCATTTACGCTTAAATAGACTTGGGAAAGGAATGAATCCACTTCTTCCACTCCCAGCTATGGGTTAATTAATAAGATTTATATCACTAAAACATTATTATTATTTCAAAAAAATTTCTTACAATCTTAAAATAGTTTATGGTTTTAGATAACATTCAAAAGGTTGATAAGCCGTCAAAAATGAATCAATCTTTTCGTTTCTTTCATACTTAATTATATTTTTATTTTCTTTCTTTCATTTTTCCTTCCTCTCTTTCTTGTAAGCTTTCTTTTCTTCTTCTATTGCTTCCCTTTCTTCCATTTTCCTTCCTATCATTTTTTTTTTACTTTTATCCCTTTCTTCCATTTTCCTTCCTATCATTTTTTTTTATTTTTATCCCTTTCCTCCATTTTCCTTCCTATCATTTTTTTTTATTTTTATCCCTTTCCTCCATTTTCCTTCCTATCATTTTTTTTTATTTTTATCCCTTTCTTCCATTTTCCTTCCTATCATTTTTTTTATTTTTATCCCTTTCTTCCATTTTCCTTCCTAACATTTTTTTTATTTTTATCCCTTTCTTCCATTTTCCTTCCTAACATTTTTTTTATTTTTATCCCTTTCTTCCATTTTCCTTCCTAACATTTTTTTTATTTTTATCCCTTTCCTCCATTTTCCTTCCTATCATTTTTTTTATTTTTATCCCATTTTCTTCCTTTTTCCTTCCCTAACATTTTTTTTTTTTTTTTTTTTATCCCATTTTTCTTCCATTTTCCTTCCTATCATTTTTTTTTTTTTTTTTTATCCCTTTCTTCCATTTTTCCTTCCTATCATTTTTTTTTTTTTTATCCCTTTCTTCCATTTTCCTTCCTAACATTTTTTTTTTTTTTATCCCTTTCTTCCATTTTCCTTCCTATCATTTTTTTTCTTTTTATCCCTTTCTTCCATTTTCCTGCCTAACATTTTTTTTTTTTTTATTTTTTATCCCTTTCTTCCATTTTCCTTCCTATCATTTTTTTTTTTTTCCTTTTTTATCCTTTTATTTTTTTCTTCCATTTTTTCCTTCCTATCATTTTTTTTTTATTTTTATCCCTTTCTTCCATTTTCCTTCCTATCATTTTTTTTTATTTTTATCCCTTTCTTCCATTTTCCTTCCTATCATTTTTTTTATTTTTATCCCTTTCTTCCATTTTCCTTCCTATCATTTTTTTTTATTTTTATCCCTTTCCTTTTTATTTTCCTCCTTTTTCATCTTTTCATTTTCTTTCTTTCTTTTTATCTCTTACTTTCTTTTTTTTTCTTTCATTTTACTATGTCACTTTCTTGTTTTCTTTCCTTTTGTTTTCCTTCCTTCCTTCCTTCCTTCCTTCCTTCCTTCCTTCCTTCCTTCCTTCCTTCCTTCCTTCCTTCCTTCCTTCCTTCCTTCCATTCTACTTTCTTGCTTTTTACCTTATATTTGTTTCTCTCTCCTCGTTTCCTTTCTTTTCGCGTTCAAACTTCCATTTTCCGTACGTTCTTTTTCTTTTACTATATTTTTTTTTATTCTTCTTTAATATTTGATCGCTTTTTATTCACTCTCCTTCTCTTTTTTTTTTCTTAATTTTCTTGTCTTTCTTTTATTTCAACCATCTTGCCTACGTCCCGCGTATTTCCTCTCTAATTCGTCATAACCATACGCTTCTTCTACTTCACTCTCTCACTTTCTCCTTTCTCCTCTTCCTCCTCTCCATCACTCCCCTTCCGCTTCTTTTCATTCTCTTACGTTATCCTCCGATTATCCACATATGGGAAGCATAATTGAGTTGCTTTAAGAGTATTGTAATTTTAATCAACCTCTCGAAAATATGAGACAGATTTCGGTGTGAAAGAAAATAACATAAAATCCCAGGAAATAATTCATCTTTTATACACACCGAGCTGGGAGCGAGGGGTGAGGAACGGAATCTTTTTTTCCCAAGAATATCTTGGAATTATATTTTTTTCTTTTTAATCTATGAGAACGATATCAAATATTTTACAATTTTCAGTCAAAATTGTCCCGCTATCAATCTGTGTGTGTCCGTGTGTGTGTGTGTGTGTGTGTGTGTGTGTGTGTGTGTGTGTGTGTGTGTGTCCATACATACATACACATTGTGTAATATAAATTCTGTGAATATTATAGTGACGTCGAAAACTAGAACAATGAGAAACCTCATATATATATATATATATATATATATATATATAATATTAATATATATTATAGTTCTCTTGTGTTACATCGACCACTATTTTATTAGCACGATATATATATATATATATATATATATATATATATATATATATATATATATATATATATGTGTGTGTGTGTGTTTTCGTGTTTGTGTCTGTGTGTGAGTATGTATGTATATATATATATGTGGGTGGGTGTCAGTATATCTGTGTGTATATTTGTGTGTATGTATATATATATATATATATATATGTATATATATATATATATATATATATATATATATATATATATATAAATGTATACGTAGGTATGTATATATATATATAGGCATATATATATATATATATATATATATATATATATATAGGTATGTATGTATATATATGTATGTAGCTATTTATGTATATGTATATATATATATATATATATATATATATATATATATATATATATATATATTATTATTATTGTTGTTATTTCCTTTGATTTTTGTTGTATACTCTTTTGCTTCTAGGTCTCAACCAGGGGCATGAAGTTAGAAATAGTTTCATTTTCCTCTGTACATTTTTGTGAAAAATAAAAATACAATAATCTAAAATCAAACACATTTAACATAGATAAATCTCTACACAATGTGTGAGCTATACTTGTGAGAAAGTTTTTTTTTTGTATTTCTTTAAGCCATGAACTACCAGGGATCCCTTCAATGAGTCTATCAAATCCTTTTCCAATTAAACTCGGGGCCCCAACCACAAATGGAATTATTGATGTCCTCATGTGGTACATTATTTAGATTTCCATTTCAAGATACTTGTATTTTGATACTGTTTTCAAGATCTTCAAAAAAATACGTTACAGTCTGCAGGGACTTCCATGTCAATAAGAAATCACATTCTGTTTTGGGGTTTTTTTGAACACGATGTCCGGGCGATTAGCTTTCATTGTTCTGTCTCTGTGTATAGTAAAGTTCCATGAATTTTTTACATGACGTATCTCTGTAACTGGGTCTGAGTGATGTTCATATCAGATTCTTGCAGTTTTCTTGCAGTAAAAGTTGTATATTTTCCAGTGTAGATATTGACCCACCCCGTTAAGCCGAGTTTTATTATTATTATTATTAGTAGTAGTTCCCTTTATTTTTGGTGTCTACTCATTTCTTTCCGGGTCCAAACCAGAGACCTAAGCTCAGAAATGGCATCCTGATATTTCCCATTGAGTGGTTTCGGAAAAAAATCAATCACACATATTTTACATAGATAAAGCGCAAGGTGTAGGCTGTTCATATGGGAACATATTTTTTATTTCTTTATGGCATTGGCTACCAGAAATTCCTTTATGTAGTCTATTGGAATCTTTTCCAATCAATCCGAAGGCTGGCTCCAACTACTACTGGTTTTGGTGATGTTCTCATTTGCAATATTTTTTAGATTTCGATTTGTATTTTGATAGCTTTTTGAAGATCTTCATTGATACATTGCAATCTGCTGTGACTGGCGTGTCAATAAGAAAACACATTCTGTTTCGGGAGTCTTTGATCACGATGTCTCGGCGATTGGTTTTGATTGTTCTGTCTCTGTGTACTGTAAATTTCCATAATTTTTTTTACAGGCCCTATCACCGTAACCGGGTCTGGGTGATATTCATATCAGTTTCTTGCAATTTCCTTCCAGTAATTTTTTTTTTCAGTGCAGACATTGGTTCACTTTCTCGTGTCGGGTTTTATATCAGTGGGTGTCAGTACCACGCAACCTGATACAAGATGGCCGATTGTTTCTGGATATTTATCACAGAATCTGCATTTCGAGTTAGCACAATTTTTCAGTATGCGTGCTTGGTAATTTCTAGTTAGCAAACATTGGTCCTTTGCAGCAAGAATAAAACCTTCAGTTTCAGCTTTTAACCCTGCTCTATATAGCTACTTATGGGCATAGGGTTTGTCTACATCAGCTTGTATGGCACGGACAGAGTATTGATTATTATTATTATTATTATTATTATTATTATTATTATTTCCTTGATTTCTGGCGTTTGTACATTTCTTTCCGGGTCCGCCCAGAACCTCTAAGGTTAGAAATGGCGTCATGACTTTTCCACTGACAGAAAAAAAAAAAAAAATTAAATTACATAGATAAAGCCCTTCGTAAAGGTGTGGGCTGTACTTGTCAGAACAATTTTTGTATCTCCCCTTGAGGCATGGACTTCCAGGAATCCCTTCAATTAGTCTCTGCAATCTTTTCCAACCAGTCCCGGGGCTCAAAATACAACAGCGATTGTTGATGTTCCCATATGCCACATTTTCGAGATTTCTATTTCAAGGTCCTTGTACTTTGACAACTTTTTGAATATCTTCAAAGATACATTGCAGTCAGCAGGGACTGCCATATCAATAAGGAGGCATCGTTTTTGTTTGTGGTCTTTAATAACAATATCTGTGCGGTTGGCTTTGATTGTTCTGTCAGTGTGTATTGTGTAGTCCCATAGAATTGTAACAGGTCCTATCTCCGTAACCGGGTCTGGGTGGTGTTCAGACCATTTTCTTTCAGTTTCCTTCCCGTTATTATTATTATTATTATTATTTTAGTGTTAGTTTTCATCTGAATATATACACATTAATATTCATCATCCTTTATTCCATTCAAACTACAAAACCATTGTTATAAACGACATGAGTAAAATCTTTATTGATAATACTACGCTTATCAGCGCAGAAAGCCAAAT